GTTAGAAAGATGCAGATAAAAGTCCTTAACCATATTCTGTCTCAGAAGCATGTGTCATGTGTCAGCAAATGCTGAAGATTTGTTTCTTCTTTCTTTGCAGCATTGTTTTTGAAAACCGAAACCGAACCAGAGCAAAAAGTATCAAATCACATTATCTCTCGCTGCCAGTAAAATAAGTCGGCTGCACGTAAAGTCCCCTCCCCAAATGGAGATCTGTCCACTGAGGGTGTACTGGGGACTCAATTCCCTTTTGCTGCCATCCATCCACAGTGGTCTCACTTCACCAGCCGTGCTTAATGAAGATGTCCATCATGTCCAAAGCAAGAATCCGGGAAGTGGTTAAAGAGAGAGTGGAAAAGCCCACCAAATGGGTGTAGTACAATTAAAGACAACTGAGACATAAATTAATTGGATAGACGAGAGCTTCTGTGTGTGTGTGTGTGTGTGTGTGTGTGTCTGCAGAAACATGCCTCATTAAATCGGAGTGGAAATATAAAAGAGTGGAAATATCCCTGTTAACCCCATCAGGCCGCCTGATGTTCAAACATAACAGTAAAACATCTATTAGAAATGTTGAGCAGAACAGAGCCTTTGTATTCTGTGTTGTTGGGCCAAGGCCAGAGCGTCATGCTAGTTTAGGCTCCAAATCACTGTCGTTCATATCAGAGCCCAGTCTGAGTCTTAATGTGGGGTCTGAAACCTAACTTTTCAACAGCAGCTGGGGCCTCCCTTCTCCTCACTATTAATTAATGCAATTTACAACTCTGAAAGTTACAGTTGGACCCTCCCAAAGGTCCAGCATAATTACTGTTGAATTTGATTGTCACTTTGATTGCATTTGAGCTATTTAGAGGCTTGGAAACGCAGTAAGTGAGATCAAAACACCTAAACACAATCTGTTCAGAACTGAAGTGGTGTTTAAAAATACTCCAACGCCATGAATCGCGTTAGCAAATTTTAACACCTTGTATTTAACAACCGTCACCATTACTGAAGCATGTCATTCTTTGGTTTGGATATTTTATCTGATTATCACAAGCGCCCCTCATGGATGAGACTCCTATGTGTGTGCTCGCACTCCCCTGTTGCATATGGGAAGTTCTTAAAATACTCCTGTTAGGGACATTTATCTTTACAATCCAGCCATCTAATATAACTGTATAAACATCCAGTCCATGTCTTTCTCATTATAACCACTTCATTAGTTCTAAGAACGTGGATAAAGCCTATAAATAAAACATCCAGAGAAGGTGGAGCTCTGCAGATATGAATCCGAGTGGACATAGTGTAATGGGTTGGAGTTTGTGAATGACTGGGAAACTTCATTTCATTACATGGGTCTTAAATGTGGTCCAGTCCATATGGTTTAAAAATAATTATCGTAACACAAAAAATGGCTTGAAGTGACTAGGACGTGTTTTAGCTGCAGGACTCTGAATGATGTTGACAAATGAAAACCAAGTATTCGCTCAACCCTTGAAATTGCAGATTAAGTTTGGGAGGAAATCTAGGAACACTTGATGATTTGGAGCACAATGGACACTTGTATATTTGGACATTAGATGTACAGAAATGGTTTAATATGTGGATCAGTACTATAAGCCTTACTGCAATGAGACGCTGCCACACCACCACATTCCACAGTCGACTGGTGGAATGTGAGCGTAGCTTGAACTGCATGTAGTGAACCCAGCTGGAATACTGTTTTCTCTACAACCAAATGTTTCAGCACTTTCTTTTTTACTCAACATTTACCTTGCACCAAAAAACAATGCCTTCCTTTAATTTAATGTCAGCGGGTTTACACCTCCGCTTATCTTGAGCTCAGCCGCGATGACTGCCACCCCGCTGTCTGGAAGTCATCCTTTAGCTGAAGAATACCACTCTGTTCTCCTGCAGCAGCTTCTCGTGTTGGCTTGTATCCATCCTCTGTACATGAATACATGAGCTGCCTTTGTTTCTCTGGCCCTCTATCAGGTTACCATGCATGACTACACCGTGTATTTAATGGAAATGCTATGCAGGAACAGGCCATGTGGCAGTCTTGAATACATGTACATCCGTAATGGGATACTCGTGAGTTCCCCTTAGAACAACTGTTTTCCTTATTAGGCTGTCGTTCTGTGACTGCAAACAAACCACCCAGTACAGTGAGATGGAAAGGATTCCCGAGAGTGATGTCCTGACTGGATACTGTATACATTATCGTACCGCCAGCTCCAGGAAAGGGCCATGATGTATGTGTGCGTCAGAATCCATCATGGTGTAAGGACTTTACGGAGATGTTTATTGTCTGGTGGCAGCATGTGAGGACATACTCATTCCCTTGGCAGTCACTGTTTATATGAGACTCATGATTTGTTACCTCAAACGGATGCTTCTGTTTGGGTCAGAGGACACGCAAAGCTGGGCTAATTAGCTGAGAAGAAATGACTAAGGTTATTAAAGGGACTGAATCATTGGCTCTGAATCACTGACACACAAAATGTTCAGTCCTGCTTTGGGACAGTATTTGCAAAGATGAGCCTTAATCCTGTACACTAATGATTTTTGCTCAGTTTTTCCATCTGGCAGTCATTGTACAATCAATATATAGTATAGGCTATAGCCTGTATAGAAATATAGTTTCAGATTTATGACTTCAAGATCTAATATGATATAACGCACCCCTAAAGTGGATCATATCATTTCCACTCCCTAACTTGAGCCCTGCAGCTGGGGGTGAGTGACAGCAGCCACACACTGACTTCAGCTGCTGTCAGTAATGTCTGTAACATCATTGGAACATGTGCAGGGTATTTTGTAATTTATCATGGCTCATGAGCTGCATTCATGTGGTAATTAGTGGGCTGATTGTTGTACGTGGATTTAAGTGTCAGTACCGGCTGGAGCGCACCTCCTAAAATATCATGCTTTTAACATGAAAGTATCTTGTTATAATGAAAAAGGTTTTTAGCACAGTTTCTCGTGGTGGCAGCAGTACGCTGGCGTAGGCAGTTCTTGTATGTACTATAAAATCTAATTCTGCAGGTGAGTTGCAGGCTTTTATTCATGTGAACTGCATGTAAATAAATAAATAAGTAAATAATGTATAAGATATAAAAACTGCACACAGCAGCCTTTGACTCTTTGATCATAGAGATGTGGAAGTTGCTACTCTTGCAGTCAGCAGATTTTCCAGAGAGAATGCGTGCCAGTGGAGAGACTTCTGTCTTTATCGCTGGGACTCAGGGGAGCCACTGTGCTGCTGGCTGAGGGCTGCTTGTGTGTGCGCTGCACAGGGCTGTAGGGGACGAGCGTGGGGCTTGGTGGCCATAAATCCTGCCCGGCACCCCTCCCTACACAACCCACCCTACCCTTTCACACATACAGAGGCTTAGACATAAAGGCTTGAAGGCCTTGCCAGGCTCCTCAGAAAGAGCTTTTAATCTTCAGCTTCTCTTAGCTTAAACTGACCCACAGCACCCTGAACTAATCTTAATGGCTTTTGAGGACTTGAGGTGATCACGCCCCCCTGACTTTTTGGTTGTGTAAAAGAGAATGTACGAGGTTTGGGGACACTGAGCTATGCAGGACTGTAGTAGGCCACCCATGTCGTAACAAGTCATTTAGTTTACTACTGAATTTTAACACTGCGTTTGCTTTAAGGTATGTGGTGTATTTATTAATGTTTTTTACATGTTCTGATGCAAAAGACTGAGTAAAACTTCACTTCTGTGACGCAAATTAAAAAAGCATTTTCAAGATATTATAACTTGTTTTAAGAAAGTGCATGACCAATATAAAGTCTACTGCCAGATATTTCACAAAAAGCTCAAGAACAAGATTTTTTTTGTTCTTCTATTTTACAAATAGTATACAGTCGACAATTTGTCAATGCCCATCATTTGTTTTTAGCTTGATCTTCCTTGTTCAGGAGAGATCGTGGTTTCTTGGCATCTCAGTATGCCTTAAAGTCAACTGGCAGAGACCTAAATGTTGATTGGTAAGGTTATTCATCAAAGTCAGCCTTTGTTTTTTCATGAAGTTGCATGTTTTCATCATCTGGTTACTGCATTTGCTGTCAGGAGCTGGTTGTGTGGTTCAGGATGCTGCAGCAAATGTTAATAATGAGCTGCCTCAGCTTACTGATGAAGTCCAGTCTCAAAGCCCAACAGGCAAATAGTCATGCCGGAGGAATGTTTACTATAAATTTGTATGTTTAATGTTCACCAGCTGTCTCTCAAATCATAGCATAGGTAACATCATTTTCAAAACAAACTCAAAATGTCCTGGGGAAATGCAAAACAATGACTGTTGTGTTGACCTACAGATACAGAGCAAGTTTCTGAATTTTTGAATGTTTATTTTTATACCCTTCTGAAAGGCACAAGAAGCCAACGTGTGCTGGAAGGGGGGGGAAATGATTTAAAATTGGAATTGGAAAAATTGTTGGCAGCAATATAAAACACATGTAATTTGTAGCATGGAAGAGCACTACTATGGTTCTTTAAATTGTCATCTATAAGGAAATGTGCATAAACTAAATATAGTAAGTTAGAATGTGGAGAACAAGGAAGCAGCACAGAAGTTTGCAACATTTCGTTCTCATGATTTGTGCTTTTTTTTATGTGTACTTTGTTCAGATTTCAAGTCATATTTTAATATGACATTACACATTTGCGACATTGGCTTTCTGGCAATTATAAAAAGATTTATTTGCAGAAGGTGGACTGTCATTAGCAGTATGACCAAGTGCAAATGAATCATATGACAATCACAGTTGATGCTAGGAAGTCCCACAAGGCGGTTTATGTGGTTTAGCCAGAGGCTTGTAATGCATGTGTAGCCATGAGACCCTCTAAAAGAAGAATGCATTACATGACAGAGGCTTTATGGCGTTACGTATTACGCCTTTGCAGATCCTGGTGTTCGGCTGTGAGATTCTCTATTCGTGACTGTGAAGTCGATGGTGATTGAGTTGTTTCACTCTTAACACTTTGGTCTCTGTTTCTTCACAGCTCCATCCCCTGTGTCTATAATGCACCAGGTCAGTCGTACTGTGGACAGCATCACCCTCTCCTGGGCCCAGCCTGACCAGCCTAATGGAGTCATCCTGGACTATGAGCTACAGTATTATGAAAAGGTATCACTGATGCAGCAGCACATTGTTTTCTTCAAGCCGTCTCCGATCCAAATGAACATAAGTTCCATTCCTATTCTCCCCATCCAGCTAAATAAATCATATGCTCATGGTAAAAACTGACTCTTTTGTTGAGTTTTACATTTGAATTCAGAAAATCTCCCCACTCTCGTTTGCATAACAAAAAATCCTAGGAGGCATGTAGACAGAGCATCTGAGCATTGCTTAGAACTTCTGCTCATTCTCTTTCAATTATAATCACGGTCAGTCACTGGGAAAAGAAACCACACTCGGCCCCGTAGTAAGGCCACTGGGGACTAATGTGCAGAGACTTGTGGTTGAAACAATGGTGTGCTGACTGTTGTAAAAATATTATCTGGAGGGCAAGCTCCACTGAATCAGCATACTTTCACACAAGAAATCTTGCACTCACAAATGTGTGTTGATTCAAGCACAATCATCACATAAATGCTTACAGCCAACACATATATTGTACAAACTCAATCACATATGTGCGTGAGTGTTTGTCGAATTTTCGTCTGCATGCTGGGCCATTCCACTTTTGAATTCCCTTTGCACTGGTGGAGAGAACTGTCAAAACAATTGTCCCAGCCCCTGCTGTGGCTCAGAAGTGTGCGCCGAGCAGCGGGTTGAAGGGAGCAGCTAAAAGAGTCTCAGTCTCCGCTCAGACCTGTCAGCGTTCTGGAGAGGAGTGTGGCAATGAAATACAGCTCTGATCATCAGAAGGCTCAGCTCAGAAAAGCTGCATGACCTGAAACTGCCACCAAATCTACCTTCTTAACTGCAACTGCTACAGTACATGTCTGCCGCTTTCAGTCCTGCTGCTTTATCAAACATTATGCTTTTTGTGGCAACACATTATTTGGATTAGTTCTATTGTGGTTGCTGTGGATGTTTGTAGAATAAATGTAGAGATCAGTATCTCTGTTTTTATCCCTGAGCTCTGCTTTTCTGCTCCTGATGTTTTAGCTACAGTATGATTTAATAGAATGCAAGGTTGGAGTGTAATGTTTTAACTCTGCAGGCTGCGTGGTGCATTTTGTGATCAGTAATGGGAGATTTACACTATTTTTCACTTATAAGTAGATGCTAAGACTTAATTTAGTTTGTCAATAATTCATCCATCCATCCATCCATCCATTATCCATACCTCTTATTCCTGAATAGGGTTGCAGGGGGGTTGGAGCCAATCCCAGCTGACATTGAGCGAGAGGTGGGGTCCACCATGGACAGGTCGCCAGTCTAACACAGGGCTGACATGTAGACAAACAACCACACACCCATTCCTACAGGCAATTTAGAGTCACCAGTCAACCTAAGCTGTGCATCTTTGGTCTGTGGGAGGAAGCCGGAGCACCCAAAGAGTTCATCAATAATAAATAAACAAATAAATAAAAATACATACATTTGTATTAAAATAGTAAAAACCAATCTCATCTCATCACTGAGATAAAAAACTGAACATTTGTTAAGTTGATTTTGACACCTTTTGAGGTCTCAGTCATTATGACTCCACTGGACTCTAATTACTAATGTGCACAAATGTTTCTTCTCTTAGGACCAAGCAGAATATAACTCAACCACCATCAGAAGCCAGACCAACACCGCAGTCATCCGTGGCCTCAAGCCAGGAAGTATCTATGTGTTCCAGGTCCGGGCCCGCACCGTCGCTGGGTTTGGACGTAACAGTGGCAAACTCTACTTCCAGACCATGACTGAGGGTGAGAATTCAGTGTTCGCTACAATAAGCAGAGCTGTTATCACGTCTCCTACGTGGCTCATTAATACACCGTGTAGAGTGGTATGGATTCAGTATTCCAAAACCAGATTAGTGTGGCTTGAAAACACTTCTTATTTTAACCATGCCTCTTTCATACAAACCTCAAATTATGCCCATGTAATTATTCCACTCTTCATATTTCAACCATCAAGGATTCTTGTTGTGCGGCACACACAGCATATCTTGTTGCCAATGATGTGTTTTTCCCATTTGTCACTATAAGCCTTTAAATTGAGGATAAGGTCGAAGTTGTCTTATCTTTGTACAATGACACGGCTGGGAGAAGAAGGAACATTCAGTAATCATCAGTCATGTAGGTTAATGTTAGAGCCAAGGTCTGGGTTTTTCCCCTCTGAACATCTCATTTCCTTCGGTCTGCAGTGCCCACAGCCATCATTAGTCTGAGCTCTCGTACACACATCCCTGACGCTGCCACACACACACAGGTCCCAGCGCTTGAGATACTTCAAACTGACTCATAGCTACAAATGATAAGTAAACTGAGGATATATAAGACCAGTTGTTCTTTTTAAAGAAAGACAGATCAGTTTTAAGTCAACACTGTAACTGCACTTTATATTTTTAAACCTGCTTAACAGGATTTTTGTGTTACAGAACTTTATTCAATTTTCAAAATAATAAAAATACCAGTTGTCAGTTGTGACGCTGTCAGTCAAGGCCCTTAATTCAAGGCTCCTAATTGTCCAAAAAAAATAAAACTTTAAAGAATAAAAATCCTTTAAGGGTGTGTGATATGTATTAGATGCTGTTCAAAAGGGACCAGTTGCATACTTTCTCTGAAAACTGCAGAAACTGCAGACTTTACTTGCGCAAGTGAACCTTAACCTGGGAGGAGAAGTAAAGGGGGTCACAAATTAAAATTTTGATGTAGTTTGTTTTATGATTAGAATTAATATGACTAATAATAACAATTAATATAACTCTTTTTGGTGGAGCTAACCATGGCTCTCACACTAGCTGGCAGAAAGCTTCTGAACTGTCCGTCCTGACGGCAGCTTCATGTCACCGCCCCCTGCTGCCGTCATCTGCTCTTGTCTGCTGTCCAGGCGAGAAAGTTCATCTCAAATGAGCTGAAGAGAGCACTGGCAGCTTGTGGAAATAGCTGGTACACAAGAAGAAGGTCCAGTACGCAGTACGCCACAGAGTGAAATGTAGAAGTGCGGGTACTGCGTACCGGTGCATGCTGGCTCACTTCAAGCACTGCATCTGAATAAAGTCATATGTCATCTGTACTACCCAAGAGAGGGGATCTGGCTCTGCCTCTGTGTTGCCATTCAGTAGCTGGATTTCTGCTCTTGGCTGCCGGATCACTCTGGGTCTCACCCAAACATGCGCTCTCTCCTCACTTCACACACTTTCTGCCAGATGATTTGTCCATATCCACGACATCTGAACACATTCAGCGTGCTTTGGAAAATAGTCCACGCAGCCAGTAGAGATGCCAAGATGCTCAGTGGTTCACCCAGCCGTATGTCTGTCTGTCACCCATTGCTCTCTCCATATGCAGTGGCTCAGATGCTTCCCCATATGTTTCAGCTTGTAACTGTGTGTGTGTGTGTGTGTGTGGCACTATGTTTATGCACTGTGTGTTTTTCTCTCTTCTGTAGCGGAATACAACACCAGCATTCAGGAGAAGTTACCTCTCATCATTGGATCGGCAGCTGCTGGACTGGTTTTCCTCATTGCTGTGGTCGTCCTCATCATCGTCTGTAACCGGTGAGTCAGTCCCGTCGCAGTCTGCCAGTGAGCTTAACACCAATAAAACATCTGTACAAGCTGGCAGCGAGTCCAATTTTCCTTTTTTATTCAGTTGCATTAGGTCATAGAGATAAAACAATCAGAACTCAAAGACACAAATTCTCGTCTTTCAGCTGTTGAGGTAATATGTAAAAGTCAACCTTGCTAATTCATCAGCGTTCTGTAGGTGCAGCTACTCAGTAGGTATCAAATGTATATAAATCTGCCAAAATTAAAATATAAGTTCCCACTGGGGCCACTCATAATAAAACTGTAGTTTCACTCCAGTGCAGTTATTTAGATTCACAGAAGGATGAACAAGATGAATTTCTGTGTATGTGTTCTGCTAGCAGGTCTCACCTAGTACAGTATTTTTTTTCTTAGATGGTAGATGGAGTACATATCTTGGATTATGAATTTAGAAATTGCCTGCTGCTGCAATGTGGGATACTTTGGGAACACAGCAAAGACACAATGGCAGAGTATGTGATTCAGAGCAATCAAAAAAATAAAAGGTTCTAATACACAGTGATGGCTGTATCACAGAACCTAAAAAGATGTTTTAATGCTGTATATCACTGTCAAGATTAAGTAATGTAAGGCACTGGCTGGGTGAAGCTCCAGCACACTATTGCAATAAAGTCAAAAATCATAGCTGTTGAATAAAAACTGCCCCATGTCATTCACCCGTCTAAATGAAAACTGTACTATTTACACGTGCACCTTGTTCACCTACAAGGGATTTAAAATACTGGTACGAAGTAGAGATGAAGAAAACCTGGAAGATGTAGATATGTAAGGCAGGGCAGTTTTATTATAGCACAGTTCATACACAAAGTGCTTTATATCAGTTTCATACCAGTTATTTTGAAACATTCATTGTGCTATAGCTGCCCATCTCGTGCACACTGCAAAAGTAGAAAAAACACTAAAGCTGTAGCTGGCATGTTCAGACCAAATGAGGGTGTGCTCAACTGCTCAAGATGTACAAAACTCACATAAAGCAAGCAATTACTTGCTTGTTTTATGGAAGAAAAACCAGCTTTGTGTAACATGACTGCATGGTTGGCTACCTTTTACAGTGTTGCAAAAACCTTCAGCATAGATAGACCTGGGGGTGTTTGATCTGCGTCTCTGCCCCTCCCTGTTCCCTGTCTCTGAACCAGAGCTAGAGTTCTTTGTCTTTCCCCCAGGAGGCGTGGCTTTGACAGGGCTGATTCAGAATACACAGACAAACTGCAGCACTACACCAGCGGCCACAGTGAGTAGAACACCGCTCCTCTGCCTGACTTTACTGCTGATTCCTCCTTCAGCGCACACCTGTCTCCATGACTACCATCTTATACAGTAATCGCCATGGCTATCATGCAGCCCTCTGCTGCCTCACACACCTGTCTCCATGGCTACCACCTTGCATGCTGGTGTCCTTGGCTATGGCCCAACACAGCACTGCTCAATTTGCCTGTTCCCCACTTGCAAGTAATCCTGCCTGTTTTGTTTTGGGGTTTTTTTTGTATTTTTTGACTCTGCTTATATTTAACCCCATCAAAACTAGTGTGGAAGTGTGTTCCATTGCGGTGGAAATAGGTCAGTGATCACTCATGCTAATACCATATGAGTCATTTGCCATTGTTAGACATTCAAAAGACTCAGTCATTGAATGGAATTTCTCAGTGATTGTTGTTGAGTAGAGTTTAAATGACAAAAAGGCAGAAATAAATCTATGAGAAGGAGCTGAGAAGTCATTTCACCATGGCCTCATTTAAGATACTAAAGCTAATCTGTATTTCTCCTGCCTGGCTATAAAAACGCAGGTCTATTTCCATCTTACAGCCCTATTTTAAACTGTTTATCTGACTGTATAATTACCTTGCTTTGTCCTTTTTTATATGTTAATTTCACTTGAAAGTTAAAATGCTTTCTCAATGTAATCTGACCATTCTGTGCAAAAACAGAAAAAAGAGATCCAGTTTGAGGCTGTTTGGCTGTTTCACAGCTAATAACAGCAGAAGCCAATGTGCATCCTGTCCTCACACCAGTCACAGTTCAGGCCTCTGCCCCTGTTTTGGTGGTCTTTGCCATCATTGAAGGGTGGTCTGCTGAGCACTGCTCAGCGTGGGAAGAGATTTTAGGGTTTTAGTAATGAGGGGTTTTGCCTGATAAGATCCCCTCCATCTGTTCATCTCTGCAGCATGTTTCTTGTGCCAGGTTTTAAGACAGTGTGCACACTCTTCTAGCTCTGCAGCAGCATTGGCATCAGTTCAGTGTCCATTCAAATAGCCTCAGGTCTGATGTGGAGGTGAGAGCTAAATAATCAGATTTAAAACTCAGGACACCTAAGTCCCTGAACACTTAAAGCCCACCTTAAGCCGGTTTTCTCAGCATCAAGGTTTAAGAGAGCCACTTTATTTCTCGGAGTGGAGCTGAGTGATGCTGAAATAGGCCCCAGGTTTCACTCCTGAGTTTTAATGACACTGTGACTCACAGAAGATATTATATATATATATATATATTAACCCACCTCATCACAACTAAGAGGACTGGAGGTACAAAGTTCTTGCTGGCTGAATAGCTGCAGTATGCACAGTAGCCATGAGACACTATAACCACCACTACTTTCTCTTGTCTTTCAACCTTCATCATCTCAGTGTCTAACAATCACATACTCGCACTGGAATGTGTGCATGGAAATTAATTGTTAATGTGCCTAAATGCCTCTGACTGTGTGTAACCACAAGAATCAGGCATTGTAGCAATGATTTCCTTTTTTCCAAGTGACTCCAGGAATGAAGATTTATATTGATCCGTTCACATATGAGGACCCCAACGAGGCTGTGAGGGAGTTTGCCAAGGAGATTGATATATCCTGTGTGAAGATTGAACAGGTCATTGGTGCAGGTAATGGAAAAATCAGACTGAAATATGGACGGAATACCACACTGTAAACAGCTTGCTTGTTAGCTGGTTTTTAAGTACAAATGGATACAGGGAGGCTGTTTACTTTAATTTGCTCATAATGCTCTGAATTTTAAAGACTAATTTCTTTAACCTCTTCATAGGAGAATTTGGAGAGGTGTGCAGTGGCAACCTGAAGCTCCCAGGTAAAAGGGAAATGTTTGTGGCCATAAAAACTCTGAAGTCTGGCTACACAGAAAAGCAACGGCGAGACTTCCTCAGCGAAGCGAGCATCATGGGCCAGTTCGACCATCCGAACGTCATTCACCTGGAAGGCGTAGTCACCAAGAGCAGCCCTGTTATGATCATCACTGAGTTCATGGAGAATGGCTCTCTGGACGCTTTCCTCAGAGTAAGCAACCAGATGTTTCTATTATTTGCGCCTTACCTAGAATAGTTAAGTAGTACACAGGGCTGAATGCATGGTTTCTGGTGTTCTGCTTTAATCTCATTCACAATCTAGAGAGAGACAGGGAACATGGGCAGAGAGAGGGGGGTTGGCATGATATGCAGCAAAGGTCCCCCGGCCGGCAGTCGAGCCATAGATGTTGCTGATTGCATGGTGTGCCCGTTAACCATCAGGCCATCAGGGCAGAATGTTTCAAATGACATGTAACGGCAAATGTTTCCATGCAATATAGTTGGATTTAATTTGTGATGATCTTTTAGACAATTAAACTAGTGACCCATATTTGTGATCTACATAATAGTAACTGAAATATGAATATAATTAGCATAATCATAAACAGATTTTATTTCTATAATTGAGTCTGGTACTGTTAATTAATTTGTTTGGCTTCCCAAGTACATTCTGTGAGAAAACCTATCCACCAGTTTTGTTCACAGTAGTCTCAATAATATTGAAACATGATGATATTTAAAAGTCCTGTTATATTTGATGATATTTAGGCTCATTGTACTAATGAAAAACTACCGTTGTCACAGCTGACGGTGTTTGCTATCAGACTGCCGACACCTAATGAAGCTGCTGACAGCTGCTTGACCTACCTTCAGTGTTAGCTTCCCCAGCCTGACAAAACAAGCTGCTTCACCGCTTTGGATCCTAACGGTCTCCATTCAGAGCTTTTATTGTGATGAGCTATAAAGAGTCATAGGCAGCTTAAACCTGCCTGCTAGCTCCTGACAAGGGCCATCACCTCTGCCATGCACATAATAACACATCTTTACTTTTACTTTTGGTACTTCAAGTATATTTGATGAGAAGACTTTTGTACTTTTACTTAAATAACATTTTTAATGCAGGACCTTTACTTGTAAGAGAGTGTGTGGTATTGCCACTTTTACTTAAGTAAAGAATCAGCATCATTTGTCCACCGTTAATTAGATTATATTTAAAATAGTGTCTGTTGCTGTTTGAAAACTCAGCTCTTTCAAAAAGTTATTTGGGGGAAAAAGACGAATATTCAACCACAGAAGAACTTAACTTGGGTTATTCAGACACCTGACAAATTCACATCCTTGTTGCTGTATGAACACACATCCTTGCATGTGCACACGTCTGACCAGTAATTTCACACGGCTTGTACATGTATACACATACTCCTACTAAACATTACTTTTCACAGATCCTCTGTTAGAATAGTGTCAGTCACCAGTTCCTCAGGTGCAATCATCTGTCACTGTTAACACTGACAGAATGTCTGATTACTCCCAACATTGATTTATGCTTTTCTCTATGTGTCTATGTGTTTTATGTGTCAGTCTTAACCAGGAAGCACAGAATAACAAGGTCTTGCTGGTTACTGGCTTCAGGACTTCTCTTTGATGTTTCCCTTGTTTTGCATTCACTCCACACACTGCTGATTATGCAGTACTGTCTATGGATGCAAATAAGTATCACACTTATTTTCCCCTTGACTCCCTGACAAGAAATATGCAGCGCTTACAAGTTCACAGTATTTTTAATTTTCATAATTTAACCCGAGAAGGATATTCCAGAGAACCGGCCATGCTCTCCCATTTACGACCCACATAAATAATTCAAATACTTTGCAAGACTTAAGATGAGATGTCAGATATTTAAAAATGAAGCTTGCTATGAGATGAGATGTCTCCCAGCCCTTCACCATCTGTCTGGGGATGTTAGTGAAATAAAAATAAAGCTTTCTGGCCACTATAGGCCTTTTTGTCTGCTTTTATCCACCGTAATTGCTCTCTTTGCATTTTTTGAATGAGCAGAAAAGGAAGTGATTTAAGAAAATCATGGATGTATGATCTTTGCCAAAAAAAGGTTTTATTTTTAGTTGAGCTTCAAATGGTGTAATGGAATGTCTTTATTCCTTTGCCCTTCCCTAAGTAAAGGGGTATTATTTGTTATGCACTAGTAGCATTGCAAGGTTATGTGATGTATAGTATAATTACAAAATGATGTCTGTAGAGTTAATAAGAACATTTAATTTCACATACATTGCTGTTATTGAAGAATTCAACAGCAACATTAAATTGTTTTAAAATAGACTTTAACTCTTTCCTGAATTTAGTCCCCTACCTGATTGTCAGTTTACACTTCTTATTACAAGCCTACATCAAAACCAGCCTTAGGAAATAGACATGCACGCTCCTGTCAGCTCACTGTTCAGAGTCTTTATTCTGCCTCTGGCCTTTGAGATACAAAGCATCAGCTCTTTTTGGAGTTTGATCTCACAGGGAAGGGTGTTTGTTATGTATGTAGCTAAGATGCTAAACACATTTGACAGCATATTGTATTCAAAACAACCGATAATGTCTGTGGCACTTCGCAGTGACAGTTTATGATGACAACTGCTGATGGTGTCAAAGCTCCTGGACATGGTTTGCGTTTGTTTTCTGAGGTGATTGGTGGACGGTTGTTTAAAATGATCACTGCAGTCTGACCTGAGCTGCCTCGTGCAAAAAAAACCCTGCAGGGTAGGAATAGATTGATCAGAGCTGGACCGGTATCTGGAGCCGACCAAAAGCTGAGGGAGTAAAGGGTATGAAAAGCTGTCTTTGATATAAAACACAAAACAAAAATTATTTTCATATAAATCACACTGGACGTTGATTCAAGCAGTTCTACAAATTTCTCTTTCTTCCAGCTAACCTCACCCCAAAGACTGGAGAAATCTTTCCAATTAAAGTATATGCAAACACAGCACTCAGATTAGATGGCAGTGTGTATTTGTGAGAAGGGTTTCATGAATAATGCATTCTGCTTAATTGCTGTGGAACACGAGGAGGAGCAGCTTGACGTGAGAAGAAGCTTCCGTTCCGCTAATGAGCAGCAAAGTGTTTGAAAGGGAAATAGGCTAGTAGAGCGGTGATGCAGACTGTTAATACTGCTTGACTGCCCTCCCTCTCTTAGTCCTTCCGTCTGTCCACACCCAGCCCCAAACTCCCATGGTCCATTCTCTGGAATCTTCTGTTCTCCAGGCACCGTGGTGGGTGGTGGGGAGAGTGCAGGTGTGCGCAGTTGGAGACACAGCTGCACCACTTCGCTAGACGCTCCCTATGCATGGGGTAAAGCCCTCACTAAACTGTGGAGGGGAACAGCTGTAGACAGACAGTCAGACCCAGCTTAGCCTGGCCCGGCCCTGCCGAGGCCACTTGAGCCCAACCCAAACCCTGCTGTCAGTATCCTGCAGGGCGTCCTCACAGATACTAATACTAAAGAGTAACTTTTCTACATTAGCCACTTGCACGTTGTGTTACAAGTAGTTTAGTCAAAATTAAAAGATTATAATTTGACTAGAAGAAGTTGCATGAAACGAGAAAGAAAACAGATCAATTGTTTGTGATGATTTTTTATTGAAACTCAGTGCTTGTAAGTTCACTGAATGACTTTACAAACGTGCATAATCTGTTTGATTAGTTTTTTGCTTTTAGCGTAGAGAAAATGTCAGTGACTTTATTCTATAAGTCTTGTATTGAGTCCATACTGTGAAGAACAAAAATGGTTTGTCTACTATGGTTAAATTAGAAAACAAAATGACTGACAGCAGCTCTTTCTGGATTCTATGAGAGACAAGAGGCACAGTCGGCCTTTTCCAGCTCTCTCTCTCTCTCTCTCTCTCTCTCTCTCTCTCTCTCTCTCTCTCTCTCTCTCTCTCTCTCTCTCTCTCCCTCTCTCTCTCTCTCTATATATATATACACACACACACACACACTCTATAATTTTGGATTTTTTAAACAAATGTTTACATTTTATCCTTGGCTGTTTTACTGTTATTGTTGTGGTCCGTGTCCCTTGGTTAAATCTTTGTTGCTTTCGTCCCTTTGGCCTTATTCTTTTTTGGAAGTTAATACTAAAGCAGCACACTTAATAAAGAAGGTTAATGTCAGAAAAGGCAGAGCAAGGTCATTGTTAAACAAAATAATGAACTGTTACCCCAGAAACCTCCACGTCCAACAGGTTTCTTTGACTGAAATTAGAATACTGAAATTCATCCTGACATATTAGCAGTGGCCCACCTCCTGTTTGTCAACCGCCCCATGCACTAAGGTGTTATAACACACTATGTCTGTTTCACAGCAAAACGATGGGCAGTTCACTGTGATCCAGCTTGTTGGTATGTTACGCGGCATCGCCTCGGGCATGAAGTACCTTGCAGACATGAACTACGTGCACCGTGACCTTGCTGCCCGAAACATCCTGGTCAACAGCAACCTTGTGTGCAAGGTGTCTGACTTTGGTCTCTCACGCTTCCTGGAGGATGACACATCAGATCCTACCTATACTAGTGCCCTGGTAAGAAACACAAGTCTTAACTTTCCCCTCATAAATCAGATAAATCAGACGCTGTCTGAACTGCCCTGCCCTGATGTTGGAAGGTTTTATTTACGAAGACGCAGCACAGTGCACTCCCACACTGCTCTCCCTCCTTATGAAGACAATCATCATCCTTTCACTTGTTCTGCTCTTCCTCTCTCTTCAGTGTTTCATGTACTTTTCTCCCACGGGTTTTGTTATGTCAGCCTCCGAGTTTAGATTACTGTCATCATTGTCGCTCTGAAGGGTCTGTCTCTCTCCAAAGCCGGGACACTGTGATCGTTGGGTTTGTGCCCTTTGTGTTCACAGGGAGGGAAGATCCCCATCCGATGGACAGCGCCGGAAGCCATCCAGTACAGGAAGTTCACCTCTGCCAGCGATGTGTGGAGTTATGGTATCGTCATGTGGGAGGTCATGTCCTATGGAGAGAGGCCTTACTGGGACATGACCAATCAAGACGTATGTATTTTTCTCGCCTGTTGCGGTAAAATTACCACTGTCAACATTTTTTAGACAGTGCATCACTGGACACATACATTCTTTCCTTCCTGAGCTTCATTATAGCCTTAAACCCCTCAGAGGTGCATTTTATCATTGTATGTGCTTTCTCTTAGCTCAGCATTGACTTTCTCGTGGGTTTTATATGAAAATTCCCCCCACCCTCGCCACAGACACATAATCAGATCATTTGAAATGCACGGCAGTGCTCAGTGGACAAATTTTGCTCTTGACTGTAGTCTCCATTTTCTATCTCCCTCTGGGTAGCGGATGAGAGAGCAAATTATGGGGAGAGAGATAATGAAAATAGTTTCAAATTGAAAGTGAGAACACTAATGTGCTAAGAGGGACTGAGGACCTCAACGGTTATCTTATTAGCAGCTCTAGATAGTGTTTCTGCTCCATCGGGGTCCTCATTTTGGAGGTCTCATGAATGAGATTAATCTGGGTCTGATAATGAGCAGGGGATTGTGCGTCCTCATCACAAGTGTCCTCTGGGTTGTCGCACTCTGTTAACCGTGCACCACCTCTGTGTGCCTCCCGACCAACAACATCAGCAGCCCAAGTCAGACATATTTTTAAGGAGAGAGAGAATTAAATACTTTGTAAAGGCCAGAGATGAGGTCACTGCTGGTTGAGTGCAAGTGGAAATGTGAAGCTGGTGGAATAAGGTTTTGCTTCTTAATGACCTAACTGGTGTTGAACAGCTCTTCACATGCATAACTAAACTGGTGTTTATGTACATACAGTTCAGCTTTGAGGTACTGGAATATTTCATTTTCTCTTGCTTTTACTTTTACTCCACTACGATTTACAGGGAGATATTATGCTTTTTTACTCACTACAATTATTTGACAGCTTTAATTTAATGATATTTTGCGTTAAGAATCTGAATTTTCAAGCAGCCACCTGGCAGAACACAGGGTGGGTAAAACCGTCTCCACTTTTAGCAGCTGTGCTGTTTTTGTTTCCACGCAAAGTCACTATATAGTAACAGATCTTGGACCGTTACTCGTTTACTTATGTTTTTCACTTTTGAAAGTTTGTTGGTCAAACATGGACTAGACTTGCACATTCATGTTAACAACGGCGTCAAAGTCTGTAGTGTTTAAAAGATGTTGTTTCCTTAGTGGAGCACTTGTACTTTTGTATTTTAAGTATACTTTAGAGCATGTACTTAGTACTTCAACTTGAGTAAAGAATTTGAAGTGGTACTTCTACTTATAGTGGAGTACTTTATAGGAAAGTACTTGCACTGGAGCATTGAGTTTGTGTACTTCTACCACCTCTGCACAGAATATGTTTGTATAGACAGTGTGTGTTTGATATATATTCACGTGTGTGTGTGTGCGTGTGTATAAACACTTCTGTGTTTTAGTTTAAATAGTACCTGTAATTTAATGATTCTGAGTCTGAGGCAGTGACTACAGCAGTTACTCGCGCCACACGGTGCGAGGCACAGATGCTCTTGCTCATCACGACAGAGCGCATTAGTGCCACTATTACTTCATATCATATGAAACTGTTGTGAACATCACACTGTCTTGTTATAGATGCCTATGAGTTGTTAACAGTTTCCCTCTAAACGCGACAGATGGGCTCAGTTAAATTAAATAAAGGTTTTCAATATTGCACAAAAATGCCAAGCTTAGAGAAAAACCCAAGATAAAAATCATTACAGAGTTTTTTTTCTTGTTTGGACAGCCTGTCTATAAAGAGGTTTGAAGCTCCACCTTGAACAGCAATGAGAGCAAACTGCTGTTCACAAACTGCCTCAGTATTAACAATCTAATGATATTGTATAATATTACACTTCCAGTCAGAATTTGGGAAACACCTTCCTATTTAAATGGGGAAGCGTGTCCACACTGTTGACTGGTCAAAATAGTCATTTTTCTGCAGAACATGTGCTTTTACTTTTGGTTAGTACATTTTCTTGCTTGTATTTTTACATAAGTACACAGGACTTGTAGTATTTTTGCATAGGGGTATTTATTGGTACCTTTACTTCAGTAAAAGGATTCAAGTACTTCTTCCACCAATGTGTCATACGCTCCCTTTTTTCCTACAAGCCGTCTCCTGTTGGAGGAGCCTCACGGTGACCCTTAGGGATCTTTGTCTCCCCCTGCAGGTGATCAATGCCATAGAACAGGACTACCGGCTGCCCCCGCCCATGGACTGTCCCAGTGCGCTGCACCAGCTCATGCTGGACTGCTGGCAGAAAGACCGCAACAACCGGCCCAAGTTCAGCCAGATCGTCAACAACCTTGACAAAATGATCCGTAATCCCAACACGCTAAAGGCTATGACCCCATTATCTTCAGGGTAAGTGAGACGGGGCCATTGATCAAATTTGTCGATGTGATTTAACTTGTGTTTTCATTGTCTGTCTGTAATCATAATACATGGTGTGGTCAAGTGTGAAATGTGTGTGCTTGTGCTGTCTTTCACTCCTTGTGTGGTACTGTATGTGCATGTGTGCAGGGTCATCCCAGGACATGCTCCTGAGGGGACTGATCTTTTTGTTGGAATATTTTATGACAGTTACAACAATTTTGTTATGCTTCATTTCAAAATGTAACTTTATTCAGCTCAGCATCTGTTCTGTGTCATCAACTGACTCTCTCACCTCTGTTTCAGGACCGTTACATGAATACCAGTCCCGCTATTCCTTTTACTGGTCATGCTGAGGATATGGTATTAACCATAACCTGGTTATTCATATCCCTCTGTGATTGATTCTACCATTACCTGATCATTTGTGCAGAAGTTGATTAGTGATGTGTTATAAGAACGATCTAGACAGATGCTCGACCTCAGCATAAACCTCAGTTAAATAGTGAACTGTGTTTACCTGCAAAATGTCCCTGAAACAGATGTAAACTGCCCATTCGCTCACACTGTTTTGTTTTGCCGTATAATTAACTGAAACTGACTGCTGGTTTTTAAATTATTTTGCAGCTCAGCAGGTCACTCGCACCTCTGTGCCTTCAGCGTTTTAACAGAGCACACTGGGGTGTTTTCGACAGCTCAAACATCTGGATTTAAAACCATGTCTCACTCACTTAACTTGATTTTCACGGTGTAGATCACTGTTGATCATAATAGGTTTTGTTTTGTTAAACTCACAAGGTAAGTGGCTGCGACATGAACTGAGCTGAGGAGAGTTTACACACACAGGGTCTGTATGAGTGACCCCGGTGTGGGTCATATTCTGATGAAACCTCAGTAATCTGTGAGTTTTACACAGCAGTGTGAGCAAATGAACAGCAGAGTCACAGAATTAGCAGTTTAATGATGTTGCAATGAAGGTAAACTGTGCATCAGTATCAGCTGTTTTGTGCAGTGTGAGCAGTTTTTTAACAATATAAGGGCTCTGCAGACTTGGACTATTAAAAGTAGACTGGACATCTGAAGTTGATTTCCAAATAGTCCTATGCAATTGGTTACTGTAGCTCATGTGTACTGTAGCATGTGTGTTTTGTCTCGTCTGTTGGCTTCCCACAAGATGTTGGTTTTTACATCGTTTCACCTTGTTGTTGATAACATCTACAGCAATATAACGCATCTGGGTTTCTCTGATTGTAAGGGTTTTCCTCTTCCTAACATGAAATTCACAGTCTTGCTACAGTGCCATTGATGGCACAGTTCTCCTTTGCTGAAGACGGTGTCTCTTGTTTCTCCTGGCGCCCAGTGGTTATGTAAATTAAAGCCTTTTGGTTTGATAGATCAGATCCTTCCCACGAATGCTTCAGGCAAATCCTGGACCGAAGCACTTGAGTAGTTTTCAAAACAAAACATTTTCAAGCATTTCTGCTCTGGGTGTTAGTTTGCTTAGAGAGCCAAGGTTTACTGATTTCCATTATCCCCAGCTGTACTTTCATTGGTGGTGGAGTGAGGGACCGAGGGCCAGATTTTCCACAGACACTGAATGGATGTACTGGCTCCCTGAAGCCTATCACTTTGTTTGGAAAATATACTTTGTGAGAAATCAGTGTGGAAAATACTGGTTCATGAACAAGGCCAATGGAATTCTAAGCTGTGTATTTGCCTTTTGTGTCTGGACCGACTGTTGTGTTAGATCTGCCACCTTGCACAGTATTACCATTAATCTTCACGGCTCCTGCTCTTGTCCCCCTCAGTGTTCATCTCCCTCTGCTGGACCGCAGCATCCCTGACTTCTCCAGCTTCAGCACTGTAGACGAGTGGCTGGATGCCATTAAGATGGGCCAGTATAAAGAGAACTTTGCCAACTCCAACTTCACTACATTTGATGTGGTGTCCCAGATGACCATGGAGTAAGTGCAGATGATTCCTGTTGTTCTGGGTCTGATAAGCATGAGGAATACGATCACATCATGCGGGTTTGTTGGGTTTCGTGTATCCCTGAAAACCTGAACGAGCCCCAGACTCTGCCTCTGGCCTGTTATAAAAGATGCTAGCTGCTCTGCATGTAATTAGCAAATTGTAGTATTTCTCTCACAGAGCCGAACAGTGGGCACAACAGCTCGGGGCCATAACAGTGCCCCTCGTTCTCTGCCATGTGTTCAGCAGGATTCTTATTGAACTCAATTAAAGTATTGAGAGGAAAAATCAGAAAACGAGGCTGGTTGGCTGGTTGGCTGAAATACAAAGAGAAAAATCATCACAAAACGCAAGATGTAATCATATTAAGAAGGCCACCTGTGGAGAGACAGATATAACTCATTTCCTGTTTGTGGATAACAACTCGTGAGGTGAACCCACAGAGATGATGAGCTGCAGTTCTTTGAACAAAACAAATGTGTAATCTAGTAAGTGAGATTACTGTTGAGATTTTAGTAGAAAGAAAGAAATTTCATTGTCTTGTGAATAAGAAATAGCTCAACAAACAGTGAGCAAAGGCTGATGTTTGGACCTGATGCCACTGCCATGATACAAAGTGGAACTTGCAGTTTAATTTGGCATTTATTATAACATATGGCCTCTGCAGTGAATGTTGTCTACAGTAGATGTGGATGTTCTGAATTAGTCATTTGTTGCATTTGTTTCGGTGGTATGAGGTGGATAGGGAATCAGTCATGAGCTATGTGGTCTGAGAGATGGATGCAAAACATGTTTCATTCTTCTGATATATACTTGTTCTGCTGGCCTTCTTATCAGTCCTCCATATGTTGTATTGTTGGGTTGTTTTGTTTTTGTGTAGTTTCTTTCTCCGAGACCTTCTGAAAGTTAGACAGATAGGTGGAAGGCTGTTCAGAGTTTGTAGTAATGTCAGCCCGTCTCTCCTCACAGTGACATCCTGAGGGTCGGGGTGACGTTAGCAGGCCATCAAAAGAAGATCCTCAACAGTGTCCAGATGATGCGGGCACAGATGAACCAGATCCAGTCAGTGGAGGTTTGATCCTTCCCAGTGGAGCTGGGGGCTGAAGGAGGATGGAGTGGGTGTTTATTTTTGCGTGACAGCGTGTCTGATCTTCTAAACAGAAACCCATCGATCTCCCATTCCCCTGTCCACTTCCCTCTATCCTTTTCTTATCCTCACATCCTGACTCTCCTTCCATCTTTGGGATCAGCTGTGGAGAGCTGCTTACAACAAAAGTCCATGTGAAGAAGCATCAGAAAGCATCAGAAGGCCCGCAGCCGGAAACATGGGAAGTTAAAACTGACCAGCAGCATATTTTTCAATCTTCCAATTTTCATTTGATGTTGGATTTTTTTTTTTTTTTTGGTTTGTTTTTTCTGATGATTTTGTAAAGAATTTTTTAAAGAAAAACTGAGAAAAGGCAACGAGTTTATCTAAATTTATAGATGCTATAAGGTCATACACTAGACAAACTGAGCAGGAAAGCTACCCTTTAAAAGGGCAAAAAGTGAAAACAACGAAGAGCTGAGGAGACGAGGCCATCCTCGACACAGTGTGCACATTGTCTTTGTCATTTTTAATTTTTGGACATCATGAGGAAACAGAGCTCCCTGGAGTCTTCGGAAAGACAAACTGCAGAGGAGCCTGAGGGACCCAACGTGCACTCTCAACTGTTTCCCCAGGAGAGGAAATAAAAAAAAAAAAAAAAACAAGAAATGGACCATTTTGGGCATAGACTGATGTCAGAAACACATCTATTCAGACTGACAGTTTGCACAGTGAAATCAACACTCAAGAAAAAGGAAAAACATTTTTTCATTGCAAGTAATTTTCTATATAGTGTGAAATTTTGTGATGAAGATTCCCTCACACCATAGTTCCTCTCACTATAGACACACTGACACGTTAGTGTTTTTTCCTCTGACAGTGATATATTTACAGCCTGCCAAATAGAACTCTTCCCTTTTTGCCCCCATCCGTGGTCCTGTACTGTACATATCAGATGCACTTGACCTGCCATAACATGATGACTCAGAGACGGTTATAATTAATCAGTTCAGACATAGAAGGGATTTATGTTGTGTGAGTTTCTTCCTTTTGTGGAAAAAATGTAAAAAAAAAAAAAAACAAAACAAAAAAAATAAAAAAGCAAAACCTTCTTCCTACATAAGATTCACACAAAGAAACAGGTTCTACTGTTTACATCAAAGTCCACGTACTGTGCTTACAGCATGACCCGTTATAGCATCCTCCCTCACACTGTTCAGCTCTGGTACCGTCTGTGCATACGTGCACATGTTGCACAAGAAAGCAGTCACTCCGAAAGCGTCGGGTTTGATAGCATGCTGAGTGAGTGGTAAATTTCACAGTGCTGCGATTTGCTGCAAGTACTAGAACTCTGTTTGGTAAGAGCTTGGATTGGGCACACTTTACAGGGTATAGTGTGGCTGCATTATATTTAGGCTTTATTCTTCTTCCATTTTGCTTTTGAACAGACATACATATTGAAGTTTTAATACCACACATAGTCGCAAATAGACTTTACAAACAGGGGTGTTCCAGAAACCAGGTTCAACTGACTGAATGTAACCTTGACCTGTGAGCGGTCGGAACAGCTGATCAGAGTTGGTTTAGTTCAGCGGTCCCCAACCTTTTTTGTACCAGGGACCGGTTTCATGCATGAAAAATCTTTCTGCGGACTGGGTAGAGGCGTGGGGGTTCCAATAACAAAAACTTTTGCAGTTCATAGTATGTAATTTGAATGCAACAGTTACACTTTATATTAGGCAATTACAATAATTCTACACTATAATATCAACTCCCCATAAAGCAGAGTCAGTGGGAGCCCTGGGCTTGTTTAACTTAGGAATCGTGGTATTTTCTTATAAATGCAGCTTTTTTTTTGGTGGCAGTCTGTGACCCTTCTGCTATTTGCTCGTTCCTTCCCAAAAAAACTCTCCAGTGAATTTTGTTTTTGGCTCATTTTTTTTAAAGGGTTAGCTTGTGTCGCCAATGCGTAAAATGGCGTGCCACAGTCAAGTGCGGTAGTGAGGCAAGGGCGGAAACAGTCGTTTTTCAAACTAAGACTAATGAAAGAAAAATAACTAAAATTTTAAGCACAAAATTTTTTCTTTGCGGCCCGGTACCAAATGATCCACGGACCAGTACCATTCCGGGGACCAGGGGTTGGGGACCCCTGGTTTAGTTAACCCTGAGTACGTTCAGTCTGAGTTATGCACCTGTGTGATGACTAAATCAAAGGTGTGCCAATACAACAGTTCACCATGGCAACAGGTGCATAAAGAGTAGAGCCACCATTTTAATCCAGTGGAACTGGAAAAACAAAACAAAAAAAACAAAGCAGCAGTGAAATATCCTCAGTTGGAGTGAAGGAAAGATCAGTCATCTGTGTGACATTGTTACATTTTATTCCACTCATTCATTTGTTTAGCAGACTTGATTTCTGTCATGGATGATGAAGTGCTGGAATCTTATGTTATGCTAAATATATTAAATATAGTGAATATATTAGCTGAGTAAATTAAAGATGGGCCTTGGGTAACAAACTACCTAACCAGCATCTTTTAAAACCTTTTTTCCTGACATAATGCTCCGAAAACTAATACACTCCAGTATGTGCTTTAATACGGACTGTATAGATGAGGAGATGAAACGGTGTCAGACAGCTTCCGCAGACTCTGCAGGAGGGAGGAGATGGAGAGAAACTCTGGCTTTGTTGAAAAAAACCTGCCGGCAAAGAGGTTAGATTTACGGGCTAGGTTACCGTGGTAACAGACTCAGGGTTCAAGTGATCTCATTTCTGGAAGTGAAAACTCAGATTTTGAACAAACTTGAGAGTTTTCACTAAACCCACTTTCTGAAACACCCCCAGACCTTTATTGAATTCAAAACAAAAACACAATGTGTTATTTTAATTTCTATATGATTATTATTGAATTATTTTTATTAGTAGCTTAAGTTAGTTTTTCTGCACCGAGTCTCCTGTTTGACTCCAACAAACACTCTGGATCTTCCATCAATGCTTTGAGCTTATTTTTGAAACATGAATCATGGTGGTGACAAAACCATATGGAGAAACAGCTTTTCCCTGTAACAAGTTTTGATTTAATTTTATAGACAGTATATGTATTTATTGTATGGGTACAAAGCTCTCCGCCATTGTTTGTGTTGTCGGTATCCTGGTGTCAGGGTTAAGGGGGAAAGATGGTGTTCGTAGCAATGCAGTGATTCCCTGGATGTGGTGAATCAGGCGAGTTTTATGTATACAGCCAGCAAATGATACCAGCTGCGCAGAGCCCCCTACCGGGCTTCGCACCAGGACCTGACAGCCAGACATGGACGTCCAGCTGCGCGCCATTGGTCAGATGTGTCTGGTCACAGTGGGGCGGCCGCGCCCAGATCATAGCTGCTCTGTCCAGGCACCGATTCCCCCTCTTTCCCCTTCATCATGCCTCTTGGCCACCTGTCTGCTGCTCCCACTGATCTCCTGACAGTCACTGTCAGCAGTTGTCTGGTTTTGTCTCTGCGAGTTTAAAAGCATCAACAGCAGCAGACGAGCTGGCACTCGTCACTGGGGCAGTTGTGTCTTGTCTTGTTCTGATGCTGCATGCCACTGTATGAATAAAAGATTCCTTCAGTCTGGATAATGCTTCCATGTTTGCTGGAACCAAATCCTCAGATCTTGACCTGTGTTTTTGTGTCACTACACACAGCTTTAGCACCAAAGCCCTGGTTTGGGTGAGTGAGAAACCTCAGTTACGGCACCCTGTTCTTTCTCTGGCTGTCCAGAGGATTTAAGGCCAGGAATGGAAGGATTTTTATTGTCTTTCTGCTCCATAATCCTCCTCCTTGGTTATTTTCATCTGCAGTGCAACACACCAGAATGAATATTTCCCTGGATGCTTTTACAACATAAGAAAGTGGAGGAGCAAAATTGTGAGCTGTTAGTCATAGCTGAGAGGCGAGTGCGAACTGACGCTGTGACCTAAATGCCACCGGTGCCAACGTGCAGTTTGCTGCTGCTTTTTTTTTTTTTTTTTTTTTTTAACAGAGCTTTATCCTTGTCTTCCTTTTCCATCTATCAATACATAACAGCAACAGCTCACCAGTTTTATTTAGTGAGGCTGAGGTTGTGTCTTGTCATGGTACAGCAAATATTGAGTCAACAGGAAAAACACTCCACACCGTTATAGAACGAAATCTAAAGAATAAACTGTTGAGTTTCCAGCCTGACTAAGGTTCATTCAGATGCTTGTCCACAGATGCTGCCAGAACTCTGAGTTATTAATCAAGCAGTTATCCTTTAACCTTTATTCATGGAACTACTCTAAACAGTAGGCATACTTATTGCAAATCATAAAGTAGTCCATAAGTTAATTTTATGTTGCATACTTGTTATTGTCTTACAGCCAAGAGAACACTTCTTGTTGATTTCCTTCTGAAGGGTTAGGGTTTTTTTTTTTTTCCCATTTCATCTGAAGGTGTTACAGAAAACCTTTTGATTGAATGTGGAGTGTTTGGAAGCACTGCATGAAGTATGTATCAATCTAATGCTTTTAATGGCACAAAGGAGACTCGTTGCAATTCAAGCTGAGCAGCAATCAGTGGGAGAAGAAATTGCCACACTTAATGTCAAGTGTTTCAAGTTATTCCGACTGCCTTTACAAGAGCAGACTGGCTACTTACTTTTACACCAAAGCCCAAGCTGTGAAATCGGTGTCTTAGGTCCACTGTTGGACTGTTGACAAACCGATTTACTAATTCACCTGGTACTGTTTTTGTGGTGGGGATACTTATAAAAGATTATTCTTTTATCACATCTCTGAAGTCACACTGAATATTTTGTATAAGCGATATTATTTTCCATACAGCTACGTGGTTTTTATGGTACAGCCAGTGCGGTCAGATACAGTGTACATAAAGGTATTTGTGCTCCTTATTTCAGTTGCTTGTCTCCCTTTGAAAGCATTTGTTTCCTACTAGTCACTTTCCAGAAACAACATGCAGTTTGTCTCTACAGATGTGGTTTTATTGCAAAATTTCACAAGTTTATAGCGCCAAAAAATATGCCACCAACACATTCAGTCTACAGCTTCTCTAGCTTAAAAAGACTTTTTAGTGTTCCTCTGGAAACTGGAGTAGAGCCAGTGTGGTCATAACACTCATGATGGTTTCACGCATTTGCCTACTCCAGTTCTCAGCAAAACATACTCTACTCTCGCCTCCTCATCTGTGAAGCAGAGTAATAGCACTCAGCCCTGCCCTTGCCATGTGCCAGTTTTTGAAGGACAGAGGAAACCCGTCAAGTTACATGATAGTGTGCATAAACAGGAGCTGTGCCAGAGAGAGGGGTCTGCCCCTGTTGTGGCAGACAGAAAATGGCTCCTGATTAATGGCTGTAGGACAAAGCCCTGGAGCGCCCCCTACTGCTGTGGTGGTCAAATTTAGCTTGGATCGACATTTTCTGGTCCATAGAGTCCATGAATGCTGCAGCAGGCAGAGCTCCAATGTTCAGGACACATCAGCAGGCTGTTGGAGAGATGTTGGCCTGTGTCTTTCCCTCTGTTGGACAGACTTTCATACCACTAGAGCACCCCTCCACCTGCATTGCCCCTCTGTCTCCCCACTACTGCTCTGGCTGTTGGTTAGTGCAGGCAGGGGGTCTCCACATGTTCCCCTGGTCTGTTAAAACCCACATTATAGACCAGTGCCGGTTCAGACCACTGTGACTGATGTGGGTTATTCTGTATTTCTGTATAAATGTATATTGACTGTAACCCTGTGAATGATGTAACAATTTCATTATTTGTAATATTGTCCTTGGTTTATTTTCTAAAAATGCAAAACCCAACTTGACTCTCCAATAAAAAATAAGATCTGTTATAAAACCGTAATGAGAAGTTTAATAATTGTTTGTTCATTTAAAATGTACTTTTTTTTTGAGAACATATTTTAAATTTGTTTGTACTCTGTCATAAACATGTAGCCATTGTTAATGTTTGGCATAAAACAACAGGCGATTGGTTTATTTATTCTGCAAGACTTTTAGTTGTATAGACTCCTGCTTATGTTACAGCTGTCAAGCCTGATGGACATTTAATATCGTG